GCTGGCCAGTAAATTAGAATATCATCAAAAGGTTGAAAATAATTCAGTAATTCCATTCAAAACGTGAAACTTGTACATTATATTCATGCAATGCACACAGACCAATGTATTTCCAATGTTCATTACATTTAAATTTGATATTCATAAGTGACAACTAATGAAAACTCCAAATTTGGTATCTCAAAAAATTAGAATATTCTGAAAAGGCTGAATATAGAAGACACCTGCTGCCACTCTAATCAGCTGATTTACTCAAAACACCTGCAAAGGCCTTTAAAAGGTCCCTCAGTCTTGTTTTGAAGGCACCACAATCATGGGGAAGACTTCTGACTTAACAGCTGTCCAAAAGACAATCATTGACACCTTGCACAAGGAGGGCAAGACACAAAAGGTGATTGCTAAAGAAGCTGGCTGTTCGCAGAGCTCTGTGTCCAAGCACATTAACAGACAGGCGAAGGGACGGAAAAAATGGGGTAGAAAAAAGTGTACAAGCTCTAGGGATAACCGCACCCTGCAGAGAATTGTGACGACAAACCCATTCAAAAATGTGGGGGAGATCCACAAAGAGTGGACTGCAGCTGGAGTCAGCGCTTCAAGAACCACCACGAGGAGACTCATGAAAGACATGGGATTCAGGTGTCGCATTCCGTGTGTCAAGCCACTCTTGAACAAGAAACAGCGCAAGAAGCGTCTCGCCTGGGCCAAGGACAAAAAGGACTGGACTGATGCTGAGTGGTCCAAAGTTATGTTTTCTGATGAAAGCAAGTTCTGCATTTCCTTTGGAAATCAAGGACCCAGAGTCTGGAGGAAGAGCGGAGAAGCACAGAATCCACGTTGCATGAGGTCCAGTGTAAAGTTTCCACCGTCAGTGATGGTGTGGGGTGCCATGTCATCTGCCGGTGTTGGCCCACTCTGTTTCCTGAGGTCCAGGGTCAATGCAGCCGTCTACCAGGAAGTTTTAGAGCACTTCATGCTTCCTGCTGCTGACCAACTTTATGGGGATGCAGACTTCACCTTTCAACAGGACTTGGCACCTGCACACAGTGCCAAAACCACCAGCACCTGGTTCAAGGACCATGGTATCCCTGTCCTTGATTGGCCAGCAAACTCGCCTGACCTTAACCCCATAGAAAATCTATGGGGTATTGTGAAGCGGAGGATGCAATACGCTAGACCCAACAATGCAGAGGAGCTGAAGACGACTATCAGAGCAACCTGGGCTCTAATAACACCTGAGCAGTGCCACAGACTGATCGAGTCCATGCCACGCCGCATTACTGCAGTTATTGAGGCAAAAGGAGCCCCGACTAAGTATTGAGTGCTATACATGCACATTCTTTTCATGTTCATTCTTTTCAGTTGGCCAACATTAGAGAAACAAAAATTTTTTCATTGGCCTTTAGAATATTCTAATTTTCTGAGATACCAGATTTGATGTTTTCATTGGTTGTCACCTATAAATATCAAAATTAAACGTAATAAACATCGGAAATACATTGGTCTGTGTGCATTGCATGAATATAATGTACAAGTTTCACGTTTTGAATGGAATTACTGAAATATTTTCAACCTTTTGATGATATTCTAATTTACTGGCCAGCACCTGTACTTTCTTTGATTCCATTGCTGATGTCAAAATATACAAATATAGGTAAGTGGTCACTAATAGAATTTATTAGTATGCCAACTGCCATATTTTTTTCAACGTAATTTGTAAAAATATTGTCCATCAAGGTTGCACATTGTGTCGTAATTCTCGTTGGTCGTGTGATCTTCGGGAACAGGGATAAGCTATACATCATGTCTAAGAAATCTTCAGTATGTTTATGCAGTTTTGACTTCATGAGATCGATGTTAAAGTCCCCACAGATGAATATATCCTTTTGGCCAATTTTTGTGTACATTTTCTCTATACAGGTTTTAAACTTATCCATATCCGATCCTGGGGCTCTGTATATACATCTAACTATATATTCACTCGATTTTCCATTATTATCTCAATTGTTAAACTTTCCATTACTTCGTCTAGTGTCATTGTCATTTTGGTAACATTTTACTTCTTAAATATCTGTCAACATACAGAGCTACCCCTCCTCCTTTTTTACACTTTCTATTCTGAATGTACATCTCATTTCCATCTAAATCAAAATCTGAGTCTTTTTCATCATTGATCCATGTCTCTGATATGGCTATAATCCTAAAAGGAGTTTTAAACTTGTTTAGAAAAGCCTTTATGCTCTTAAAGTTTGCACAGAGACTTCTACTACTAATGTGGATTATTGATGTAACTTGAGGAAATATGGGTTTTCTGTGCAAAGGTTATACTTTGCCCGGCTGGGTCAAGAGCTGGGTTGCTGAGAACTTTCACCCACAGATTAAGACCTGAACGCCAGCGAGTCTGGGAGAAACTATAACATCTGAACACCTGCAGTGCCAGAAGATGTGTTCTCATGGAAAAGCTAGTCATAACATAACAAGTCTTAAACTTCCTTTCTTTTATTTTAAGTTGTTAAATAATCATTTGATCACTTTGCTCATTATAAATGTGTTTTAAGCAAATGAATGATTATTATGCTTTGGGTAATCATAATAACTAATGAATCAATGCTTAGTTAAGTAATGTTTTGAAGATGTTTTAGTGGTGACCCTCACACACTCAGACACTCACTCAAACACTCACACACACACACTCTCTCACAGTAAACTCCAAAACACATTTGCTGACGCACAAGTTTTGCTTTGAGAAGAGAAAGGCTTTTGGTAAGTTTTCAGTTCTTGATTCAGTTCGAGTTTGTCAACGAGAGAGTTCGGATGTGTTGAACATGCACCCGGGGAAGGGAGCCTGCGGCTCCTGTCCCCCCCCCACGCTAATAGCTGAATTGAAACCGCTAACGCAGACTCGTCCAGAGTCTTTGATTTTCTGAGTAATTTAAACTTAAGAAAGCGCATCTGCAAACGCTTTATCATCAACGTGTACCAGGGGGCATCTCTGGACGGGATCGGTGGACACCTTCGTCTTCTCTGCCAGCTGAGGTGACCTGGATGAAACATCGTCCGTTGACGTTCCGGATCTGAACGAGGGTCCTCGTAGGGTGAGGCAGTCCACGATAGATAGCATTGATGCATCTTTTCCAACAAAACCTAAGTTTATTCAAACCATCACTTTTCACTCAGACACCTGTTTCTTCCTGAAGCAAAATCAGACACACACACGCATTCATCTCACCTTATTCTCAATTTTCACTACATTTTGCACACACGCATCCATAATCACATCACTCTCAATCTTCAGCACATTCAACACAAGGTCTATTTGAGCAAGTTTACAATATCAACTGTTAAAGATTGTTCAACAAAGTTGCCAATGTTGATTGTTGTTTCCTATGCTTGTCATTTCAAAATCATTAGTTTAATTTGAAGAATTAAATCTTTTAACTTTCAAACTTGTCTCTTCATTGAACTGAAACACAGACCCACGGATATTATCGACTTATCGATGAAAACAACCTTTGAGTCTTCTTAAAACTATAAAATATGTAGGATGGTTCCTCTTTCATAAAAGAGCATAAACCATTACTCTACATAATTAAAAGAGCCTAATCAGGTTCACTACATTTATAAAGATTGATCTGTCTTCATTTGTTCCTTTAGCTGTAGTTCCCTATAATAAAAACACTCACTGTTTACATGACTAAAGTAATTAATGTCAGGGTCTATGTCATCTAAATTATTTTGTTGTTGATGCTTGGTGATTACAAATGTTTCCAGTTCTGTTTGATTCAGCGTATTCATAATCCAGTCTTCATCTTTAGATGAGAGATATATATCAAATATTCATGAGATGTACAGTCGATATAAATCCAAGAATAAATAACAAAAGAACAAAAAAAGAAGTTACCAGGATGTAATGAGTCACTATTTGGTTTGAGAATTTCATCATTTAAACTTCCCTAGCTCCTCAATATCTCTTATCAGTTGCACTTTAGCGTCTTCTGGCGTACCGAGCAGTTTTATCCACACTTTGCAAGTCCTTGTCCATGTGGACTGTGTTTTCCCCTGTTTCCTGACAGCCCTTGCTTGCCTTGCCATTTCAGAATTTTTCTTTGTCAAGTGTTCATTTATGTACACGGCTGATCCTCTAAGTTTTTTGTTTGTTGTAATAAGTGAATTTTTGACTTTCTGTTCATGAAACTGATAATAGCCTGTTTTGCATTTTTATCTTTCTTAGGCAGCACATGACAGGCAGAGATTTCCTTACCATCGACATTAATATTTTTGATTTGAAAAAAATTTAACACTTGGTTTTGAAGAGTATTTGATTCTTCAAGTGTCTCACCAGTCTGGTTCTCAGCATTTGCTGTCACTCGAGCATATGATCGGTGCCTAGTGATAAGCCCACTCACAATAGCATCCTCCATTCTTGTATATTGTTCTAAATCATCCACCCGCCTTTCCAGGATATTAATTATTGTGTCTTTCTCAATGATTTTGGCTTTCAGTTCCTTCACTTCTTTTACTAAGTCCATCAGTACCGTTTGCGGTTTAAATGGACAAGGAACATTGTAAAGAAGTTGATTATTTTTCTTTTGATTATTTTGCAATTCAATTCCAGACCTGGAGGGCCGGTATCCAGCACATGTTCTGCTCCAACACACCTGTGCAGCAGCTCATCAGGCTCTGTAGCAGCCTGGTAATCACCTGCTGAATGAAATCAGGTGTGTTGAAGCAGAGTAAACCCAAAACGTGCTGGATAGAAGCGATCCGGGCTTGGAATGGAATAGCCCTGATCTACTCAGACCATTGTCCTCTCAGGAATATAAATAGGGCCTACCGCTACACCATCTTCCATCCAACAGCCCATGAGACCACATGTTTGTGGTCAACTACCCCAATCATTCCACTGAATGATGTAATTATATCTTTAGTTGCTTCCTCTGATCAGCAATAACTATAAGTTGACCTCAACTCTTCAGTTCACTTAAAAAAATTAAACAAAACCAACATATTTATCCAAAACCTCATTTATGGACAAACATTCATATTTAACATATAAAACATTGGTGTTGACAAAATGTAAATGATAAAATAATTTTTTTGAATGAGGAAGTTTGTGCCACAAACGCTAACCCTTCATTGCTTCCTAAAGCCTTTCAGGATTGGATAAATGTTCTCAAAGGCTTCATAGATCTCTGCTCGCTCTTTAGCTCCTGAAATTAAACAAATTAAACATTAATAGATGTAAACAAGGAGACTTTACACACCAGAAATTACAGCAGTTCAAAAAGTCAATAAAATAGAATTTGGTCAGTTAATTTTAGAAACAGATAATGTATTAGCCTGTTGTACAAATGCTTTAAGAAAAGAAGAGAGATACTATTTTCTCATTAATGATAAGTAACACATCTGAGTTCACATCGCTTTAGATTCTGCAGAAATTGAACATTTTTCTTTTTAATTAAAGCAAACTAAGTAGGATGGAAACGTTACTTTGATCAGAAAAAAATATATTCAGATTTGAAAGCAGGAATAAAACATTTTTTAATTTTTATTACCAGTCAAAACCACCTTCCCAGAGACAAAGATGAGCAGAACTATCCGAGGTTTCACCATCCGGTAGATCAATCCAGGAAACAACTCCGGCTCATAACTGTGAAGACACGTTTAAGGTTGGTTTATGCTTGACGCGTCCGCGAGGTTCACACGGCTCCGTGCGGCAAAGTTGCATAATTTTAACAACCACGCCCCTCCACCGCGCCTCAACACAGCCCAAACTTTCCGCACCGCACACCTAGGAAATTTTCTAACCACGCGGACAGTCAGACGCAGAAAAACATGGCGGACTGGCAAGAACTAGTATGGCAGAGGTTCGTAAATACAGACATTTGTATGATTCAGCTCTCAGAGATCACCGTGATCAACATGTTGTTAATAATTCTTGGAGAGAAATAGCTCGCACTGTCGGAAAAGACGAGGACACTTTTAAAAAATGCTGGAATGCCATGTTGTAAACAACAGTCATTTTTACTTCTACTATGGTGTAGTGTTGGATGCATGCCGTAGAGCTCCATGCTGCCCCGTTCAGTTTGGGAGAATATTGGCTCCCCGCAGAGACGAGCCGCATGAACCATAAATGCTGCGAGTTGTGAAGCACGTTCCATCCGTGAGCCGCATCACCAAGCGGAAAGTGAATGCGTCAAACATAAACCAAGCTTTAGCCTGCTGGGTGAATAACAGCATTTCTGTCAAGTGTTTCCAGTACTGACATATAGGGTACAAATACATGGAAACATGCACTACCGGTCAATAGTTTTAGAACGCACCGATTTTTCCATTTTTTTTATTGGAAATTGTGCAGTTTAATGTGACATTGCACTCTGAAATGAAAGCATAGTACAAATAAGCAATTGGAGTTAAATCATGGAAGCAATTTATAGACCAAAATGTATTCTAAACTTCTGACTCAAAGTAGCCACATTTAGAAGATATAACAGCTGAACACACTCGTGGCATTCTTTCTACAATAGAAATCAAATAATCTTCAGAAAGTTCTTCCCATATCCGTTGCAGAAGTTCCCATAAATGTGTGGCATTTTTAGGTTGCTTTGCTTTCACTCTTCTGCCCAGTTCATCCCAAACCAGCTCGATGGGGTAAGTCTGCAGACTGTGCTGGCCACTCCATGCTTACAAGCTTACCATCTTGTTCTTTTTTCCTGAGGTAGTTCTGGCATAGCTTGGACTTGCTGTAGGATGAACCCCTGACCAACTAGGCGCACACCAGAGGGAACTGCATGGCGCTGGAGAATGCTGTAGTTGCCGTTTTGGTTCAGGGTGCCTCTCACTCTGTACAAGTCACCGACCCTAGATCCAGCAAAACAGTCCCAGACCATCACACTTCCTCCTCCATGTTTGACAGTTGATGCCACACACACAACCATCATTTAATCTACTCGACGGCGTACAAAGATCCTCCGTGATGAACTGAAGATGTCAAATTTGGATTCATCAGTCCACAATACCTTCTTCCAGTCTTCAGTAGTCCAATGGCGGTGTTTCATGTCCCAGGCAAGCCTTTTCCTCTTTTTCCGACGTCTTAGCAGTGGCTTTCTTGCTGCAACTCGTCCTGTCACACCTGCAGCTCCACGTCTTCTCTTCACAGTTGAAACTGAGACTTGCTTACCACGACCACTATTAAGCTGTGCTTGAAGCTGTTGTCCTGTGAGCCGCCTATCATGCAAGCTGTTAACTCTCAGAAACTTGTCCTCTGATGCAGTTGTGGCTTTGGGTCTGCCAAACCTCCTCCTGTCAGAGTTTGCCCCAATTTTTGAGTGCCTTTTGATGGTGAAGGAAACTACTCACTGACACCTCGACTTTCTTTGCAATTTCTCTGTAGGAAAGACCTACATTTTTAAGTGTTATGATGGTCTATCTCTCTTCCACGATTAACTGCCTTTTTCTTGCCATTTTTGAAGCAAAACACTATTATCTGCAGTACAATGGTACCACAGTATGTTCCAATACTGCTTTTATGCAGACAGAGGGGGTTGTAAGTAATTCAGAAAAGCTGGAACACCTGTGGGAAATAGCACCAGCTTTCAAGGCTTGATCAACTGCCGTTGCTGCAGAACAGTTCCCTGAAAAAGGCCTTTTTGTACATTCTGAAATGTACATTTTTTTTCTCAGTTTTTTAGCAAAAGGCTAGCAAAGTCTGGCAATTAGCTTTAAACCCCATGTTAGATAAGAGGACTTCTTTGCACCTTGAACAGCTCATCATTTCTTATACAGTGATTGGATGGACTACATGAAGATACCAGAAGAGTTCTAAAGTTTCACCCCATGAGCTGCGCTGACTGTTATTCTGTGCTCGCCTGAAACTGGACAATGGTACCTGCTGAACTGCTGATGGGTCAGAACCAGGCCTTCGAGTCTGATGGGAAAACAGACATCACAGCTTGCCACCATGTTCTGGACCTTGAAATCGAGGAAGCGAGCTGGAAAGCCAAGCTTCTGCACCACTCGAGCGTATTTCCGAGCTGCCAGCCGTGACTGTTCCTCACTGCATGTGATCAAAGACACAAAGACCAGATCAAGGGTTTAAACCAGCTGGACACATACCTGGTCTGCAATGTGAAGATACATCAACCTTCTCGAATATACATTACTTAAGATACCCACCAACCTACAGTGCATATAGAACACAGGAGAACCAAGACAAGAGCACTGATAGTTTACCCAAATACTTGGTTATTCATTGGGCTCAAATTATGAAAGAGTGGTTCAGCAACCTCGGCCACCTCAGAGTTTAGGCCTGATCCCTGTTGAGAACCTTTGGGATGTGCTGGAGAGGGCGTTCTGCTGAGGTTGGACTCCCATCAACACAAGATCATGGTGAAAATGTTGTGTGACATTAGAGAAGCTCATCGAAACAGTGCCACAGTGAATGTGTGCTGTAATCAAAGCTAAGGGGGTCCAAAGGAACAATAATGTGTGTGGACTTTATTTGGTATGCTGACTCTTTTTGGCCAGCCAGTGTAGTTCCAATTATTGGGTAAGTGTGAGTCCGGTCCACCAGAGCAGCTGACCTCTTGGCTCCAGTACACACCATCTTCCCTGAGCTGAATATAAGTGCCGTCGTTCGTGGCTCACGGATCCTCATGATCACAGCTGCAAAACGCTGAAACAAGAAAAGATGCTAATGAGATCAAAGGAAATAAAACAAATGAGTGAGTGTGATAGAAACCCCTCCACCTTTGGATTGTATTCTGCATTTCTGGCCTGCAAAGCAATGAACTTCAGATCCAGAGGACATCCCAGGTTCACAGTGGAAACGATGTTTCTGCAGAAAAATTAGATCGAACACTAAAACGTTTTTTTTTTATACGACCTGGTCCAGCTGTGTGCAGCTCTGCAGCACATGGAAAAAATATACATTCAAATTTATTTTAAAATATGACTGAGACGTTTCAAAGATCAAGGTTTGAACTGACCAGAGACAGTTTCTCTGTTCAGCAGGTTTAGAATTATAAATGACCTGCATCTGAATAGTGCCTTTCTGAGTCAGAGGACTCCAAAGTGCTTTACACTCGTTCATTCACTCACACACTGATGCCCACACGGACACCGGCCCCTTTGACCACCAGCAACAGGTAAGTAGAGGGAAGTGTCTTTGTTACCCAAAGACGACTGACGTGGACAGAACTTGGGTTTGAACCAGCAACCCAGATACAGAGTAAACCCCTGAGCTACCGGCACCCTATAACTACATGAAAGAACTACATACGTTTCTGAACTAGAATAGTTCCTAAAAACATGATTTCAGCTGTAAAAATATAAATTCTACTTGACAGATGGAAATAGATATGGGATCAAATTAGAGAAGCAATGTGACACAAATGATTAACTTTCAGGGATTTTGGGTCTAAGAACTGAAAATTTGATATCAGCTGAAACAATTTCTGGAATCACGTTATTTTCTTCTAACACAACAACTCCTCCTTGAACCGTCCCCTTATCGTGGTGGAGGAGTTTGAGTGCCCTAATGATCCTAGGAGCTATGTTGTCTGGGGCACTTAGTGTCCCTGGTAGGGTCTCCCATGACAAGTTGGTCTTAGGTGAAGGGTGAGACAAAGAACGGTTCGAAGGATCTTTCATGGCGGTTAAAACGAAGAGTCGGAGTACCCGGCCCGGAGAGTTACCGGGGTCCCACCCTGGAGCCAGGCCTGGGGTTGGGGCCCGTGAGCGAGCGCCTGGTGGCCGGGCTTTCGCCCATGGGGCCCGGCCGGGCCCAGCCCGAACCGGATACATGGGCTCGTCCAACTGTGGACCCACCACCTGCAGGAGGAACATGAAGGGTCTGGTGCAATGCGAATCGGGTGGTAGACCAAGAAGGGAGCCTTGGCGGTCCAATCCCCGGACAAGAAAACTAGTTTTTGGGACATGGAACGTCACCTCGCTGGCGGGGAAGGAGCCGGAGCTTGTGGCAGAGGTTGAGCGGTACCGGCTAGATATAGTCGGACTCACCTCGACACATTGCATTGGCTCTGGAACCCGAGACCTGGAGAGGGGTTGGACACTCTACTTTGCTGGATTTGCTCCGGGTGAGAGGCGGAGGGCTGGGATTGGCTTTTTGTTAGCCCCGAGACTCTCTGCCTGTGTGTTGGGGTTTACCCCGGGGGACAAGAGGGTAGCTTCCTTGCGCCTTCGGGTCGGGGAACGGGTCCTGACTGTTGTTTGTGCTTATGGGCCAAATATCAGTTCAGAGTACCCACCCTTTTTGGAGTCCCTGGGACGAGTGCTAGATAGTGCTCCATCAGGGGACTCCATTGTCCTGCTGGGGGACTTCAATGCTCACGTGGGCAATGACAGCTTGACCTGGAGGGGTGTGATTGGGAGGAACGGCCCACCTAATCTGAACTCGAGCGGTGTTTTGTTATTGGACTTCTGTGCAAGCCGCAGTTTGGCCATAACGAACACCATGTTCGAACATAAGGATGCCCACCGGTACACTTGGTACCAGGGCAGCCTAGGTCACAGGTCGATGATAGATTTTGTAGTCGTATCATCTGACCTGCGGCCGTATGTTTTGGACACCCGAGTGAAGAGAGGGGCGGAGCTGTCAACTGATCACCACCTGGTGGTGAGTTGGATCAGATGGCAAGGGAACATGCCGCGTAGACCTGGCAGACCCAAACGCATAGTGAGGGTCTGCTGGGAACGCCTGGCAGAAGAACCTGTTAAGACGGTCTTCAACTCCCACCTCCGGCAGAGCTTTGACCACGTCCCGAGAGCAGTGGGGGACATTGAGTCCGAGTGGGCCTTGTTCCACTCTACAATTGTCGAGGCGGCTGTTGCTAGCTGTGGTCGTAAGGTGGCCGGTGCCAGTCGTGGTGGCAACCCCCGTACCTGCTGGTGGACACCAGAGGTTCGGGGAGCCGTCAGGCTGAAGAAGGAGGCCTACAGGGCGTGGCTGGTCTGTGGGTCTCCGGAGGCAGCAGACAGGTACCGGATAGCCAAGCGGAGTGCAGCAGTGGCAGTTGCCGAGGCAAAATCTTGGGCGTGGGAGGAGTTTGGTGAGGCCATGGAGAAAGACTATCGATCGGCTCCAAAGAGGTTCTGGCAAACTGTCCGGCGCCTCAGGAGAGGAAGGCAGCAACTCGCTCACACTGTTTACAGTGGGGATGGGGAGCTGCTGACGTCAAATGAGGCAATAGTCGGACGGTGGAAGGAATACTTTGAGGAGCTCCTCAATCCCACCAATGCGCATTCCGAGGAGGAACCAGAGCTGGGAGGCCTGGGGATGGACTGTCCGATCTCGGGGGCAGAAGTTGCTGAGGTAGTCAAACAACTACACAGCGGCGGAGCCCCGGGGGCGGATGAGGTTCGTCCTGGGTATCTCAAGGCTATGGATGTTGTAGGGCTGTCATGGTTGACACGTCTCTACAACATTGCGTGGTCATCGGGGGCAGTTCCTAGGGAGTGGCAGACCGGGGTGGTGGTCCCCATCTTTAAGAAGGGTGACCTGAGGGTGTGTTCCAACTATAGGGGGATCACACTCCTCAGCCTCCCTGGAAAGGTCTACTCCAAGGTACTGGAGAGGAGGGTCCGATCGATAGTTGAATCTCAGATAGAGGAGGAGCAATGTGGTTTTCGTCCTGGCCGTGGAACTGTGGACCAGCTCTATACCCTTGCAAGGGTGATGGAGGGGGCATGGGAGTTTGCCCAACCAATCCACATGTGCTTTGTGGATTTGGAGAAGGCTTATGACCGTGTCCCCAGGGGCACCCTGTGGGGGACGCTCCAGGAGTATGGGGTGGGTGGCTTTCTGTTAAGGGCCATTCAGTCCCTTTACCAGAGGAGCGTGAGTTTGGTCCGCATAGCCGGTAGTAAGTCAGACCTGTTCCCAGTGAGGGTTGGACTCCGCCAGGGCTGCCCTTTGTCACCGGTTCTGTTCATCACTTTTATGGACAGAATTTCTAGACGCAGCCGTGGTGTTGAGTGTGTCGAGTTTGGTGGCAGGAGAATCTCGTCTCTGCTTTTTGCGGATGATGTGGTCCTCCTAGCTTCATCCAGCTCTGACCTTCAGCTCTTGCTGGGTAGGTTCGCGGCCGAATGTGAAGCGGCTGGGATGAGGATCAGCACCTCCAAATCTGAGACCATGGTTCTCGACCGGAAAAGGGTGGCTTGGCACCTCCGGGTCGGGGGAGAGGTCCTACCTCAAGTGGAGGAGTTTAAGTATCTCGGGGTCTTGTTCACAAGTGAGGGTAGGAGGGATCGGGAGATCGACAGGCGGATTGGTTCGGCGTCTGCAGTGATGCGGACGCTGAGCCGATCTGTCGTGGGGAAGAGGGAGCTGAGCCAGAAAGCCAGGCTCTCGATTTACTGGTCGATCTACGTCCCAATCCTCACCTATGGTCATGAGCTTTGGGTAATGACCGAAAGAACGAGATCGCGGATACAAGCGGCCGAAATGAGTTTCCTCCGTAGGGTGGCCGGGCTCAGCCTTAGAGATAGGGTGAGGAGCTCGGACATTCGGGAGGGACTCGGAGTAGAACCGCTGCTCCTCCGGATCGAAAGGAGCCAGTTGAGGTGGTTTGGGCATCTGGTCAGAATGCCTCCTGGACGCCTCCCCGGGGAGGTGTTTCGGGCATGTCCTGCCGGCAGAAGGCCCCCGGGTCGACCCAGGACACGTTGGAGAGGTTACATCTCCAATCTGGTCCGGGAACGCCTTGGGGTCCTGCCAGAGGTGCTGGTGGACAAGGCCGGGGAGAGGACGGCCTGGAGCTCCCTAGTTGGGATGCTGCCCCCGCGACCCGGACCCGGATAAGCGGAGGAAGACGACGACGACGACGACAACAACTACGTTTTAGAGTTATTCCTTCCAGCAAAGGTCTAGGACTACAGACACATAAATCCTGTCCGGACCTTCTCCCAAGTCAGGTCAGTCCAGAACGTTTCACAAGACGGGGAATCAGAACTGTTCAGCTGAAGCCGTGAGAAACGGGCCAACTCCAGACATAACGGGGGCAGATCCACAGAACTGGGTCACTACAAAGTAAAAGTGCTGATGCAAAGGGATCTGTTTTTTATGTCGTTCCAGCTCAGAGGATGTATTTACACAGACTGGGTCTTTCATTTGACCAAAGACCAAATCAATTGCTTGATTTAGCCTGGAGCACTCCTGGAGCAGGTCACAGCTTCAGAAATCATCATCAAGATATTACTTCACAATGAATGGGTGTTTAACCCTACCAGAACAGAGGCTTGATTACCAGGTTTCTGTAATATTCAGATTGATTTGAGGTTAAATTGTGCACCAGAAGTGACAAACATGTTGCTGATTCTGGAATCATTACAACTTACTGCAATTGTGGGATGATTCCTGATTTCTCAGTCACAGGCGTCATAGGAGTCATTGGAGTCATTGGGGTCATTGGACAGAAGGGGGAGGCTCCTCTTCCCAGTCCTAAGGAAAGTACATCCTGCTGGAGATTGGCTGCAGAGGAATCCTGCACAATACCGCTGTCATGTGAAACATCCAGAGCTGCAGCCTGGCTTTCTGCTGCCGCAGCTGGAAATAAAACGCAGAGGGATTTCACCAGATGGCTCATTTATTCATCCAGGAACCAGAGTCCCGCTCTACTTTTACCACTCCTATGCTCATCGATCATTCTGTGTGAGAACACGTGCGTGTTCACCACTTTATGAAAGTTGTTATGTAACCGTTATCAGAGAACTTCTATAAGTGAAGAACCTGGTTTAGTGTTAAAATCAAAAAGTCCTCATAAAATCAAGACCCAGGAGAAAAATCTGAGCCCTGATGGCATCACATGGTTTCTCCCAGAGAGGTTTTACTAGATGGTTTCAAAGTAATAGAAAATATTTGTTTGAATGTTGAACTGAGTTTGACACCTGAATATGGTTAAAAAAAAAAGTTACATGAGCTTAAGGCCCTGTCCACACGTTGCCGGGGTTCTGCCAAAAACGTAGATATTTTTCTACGTTTTGGCCTGTCATCCACACGAAAACGGAGTTTTTTCACACGAAAACGGATCTTTTTAAAAACTCCGGCCAAAGTGAAGATCTGCGTTTTCTCCGTTTTGGGTGTCTGCGTGTGGACGGACAAAACCGGAGTTTTAAGGTCCGCAACGTCACTTTCCGCGACAAAAAAATGCTGACGTCCCGTGTGTGACCTGTGTTTACACTAGCCGACAGCATGGATGCCCTCAGAGCTGCGCCACAGACGAAGGACGAGGTTAAGAACGGGGGAAGTACTGCCGCCTACAGGTCTGGCATATTTTATCTGGGTACGTGTGGACAGTTTTTTTTTTAAACGAGGTGGTGTGGATGCAAGTTTTTGGAGGGGCGGATATTCGTTTAAAAAAAACCCCGGCTACATGTGGACTAGGCCTAAATGAACCGAGTTTTCGGAGATAAAGCTGCACCAGATCAGATCAATGAAAACTTGAGCAGTTGTCACAGTAATCTCAACAAAAATGAAAAAAAAATCTACTTTAATTTAAAATGTGGTTTTTGGGATGGTGGGGGCTCTTTACTTTCTCTCAAAGACTTGGCACCTGTTTTGCTGCTTCGATCATCCTGAGGGTTGAGCTCGTCAGGTAGAAAGCTGAAGTCCAGAACGTCTCGTACCTTCCCACCTGGTCCAGAGGTCTCTGGCAGCTGGGGAGGGCTGGGACTCGGTACCTGCTGAGGAGCAGCTTGGTGGGCAAGTTCTTCCTCCAGCGGGCAGCTGGAGTCCTGCAGAGCAACACAGAGAAGATGGGCGGCTATGGATGAAAGCAGTCCACTGCTCTTGAGGGCTGGGTCAGTTGCAGATGTATCACTTCCCCAAAGGAATCAATACCGGATCAGTTTTTCAAAGTTATTCTTAGTCAGGGTCTAGAGGAAACGTCAGATACTCAGCTGACTGAGAAAACATTAGACTGTCTAACGTGGGGGTCTGCAAGCTTTACAACCCAATCCTCGCTCATTCCACCTGAATAAAACAAATTCATAGCCACAACTCTTACAGGAGCTTCTGAAAAACACTTCTGAGAAATATCTACAGAAGAGGATCAGGACCACTGAAAATTTTTTTCTCAGAGTTGTGACAGTAACAGGACACAGAAAAAGGTTAAAAGTCTTAGATCAGAGCTGGCATTAAAGTCAGTGATCTTTTTATTTTTCTTCTGTAAATATCCACAATGAGAGATTTGTTATTATTGTTGAAAAAAGACCTTTGTCTCTATTTCGGTTTTAAAATCAAGAAAAATGAAACTGTTGTAAAACAAAAAAAGAGTTTGGATATTTTCTATGGGATGTAAAAACACGGATTTAAACATATTTTGGTTCATTCTATTCAGGAAATGGACTGCAATTCAGAAAAATCAGAAAAGCTGCTTTAACCTGGATTTGTATTATATCTATTTTAATGAGTTAATTATTTTAGCTAAAACCATTAAGGGCCAGATCCAAAAAGCTCCTCCAGAGCTGCAGGCTGCAGACCCCTGGTCTAAAGCATATATTTTGCCTGGTTGTTGTTTAAAAAATACTGAAATTAAAATGAGATGAAAACCTGCTTCTGTCAGACAGAGAGAAACGGTTCTGTTTTGTTTGTGCTTCCTGGTTCTCACATCAACAAACATACACACACATTATTACACATCATTCTTCTAAGATATCAAGGCTGCACCTGCAGAAGTCTGCCTCCACACTCACATTTGCAATGGAGTCATCAAAGTAACGTTCCAGCGCCAAGTCATCCATAAGTCTACGACCATTTGACCCAGTCTAAGAGGTCCTGACCACATTGTGCAGGCAGAGAGCTGCACAGCTGCAGCCAATGAAACACTCAGAAAGTCCTGCACTCACCTGGCTGCTCCTTCCTGTTTAATCCCTCATATTTAAAACACAAAAGTTAAACCAACACGTTTCATCGTTTGGTCTATTTATAGTTTCACTAAGCTTATGACACAGGTTTTGAGTTTTTTCTGATTAGATCGTTATCTATATTTATTTAATCAGAGTCGCAGCTAATGCAGGATGGGTGCGATGAAAGGATGAGTGAGCAAGAGTGACCTAAATCATGTCTAGTCCTGACATGAGAACCAGGACCAGAGACTGGACAAGTTATCTTTGTTTCTGCATGGTCACCTTAAAAGAGTCTTATTTCATGAAATTATTCTGGCCAAGCAGGAACAGATTATTCAACAGAATCACTGACAGGCTGGGACGTAATTTTGGGGGGGGACGGGTGGGACATGTCCCCCCCACTTTTTCAAAAGGCAGTTTTGGTCCCCTGCACTTTTTTCCGTCCAAAAACAATATTACGCTCCATTAAAAGGATTTTGTTGAGCACTAGGACCGAAACGGAAACCGGTTTCCTATTAGACCCGCCCAAAAGCTAATCTATTGGTTCTGCTGATACTTGCTAACGTATTATTGGCTATTGCTGCTGTCACTCAAGTTGTAAACAGTCAGAACGTGCTCACGTTGTTTTGCTAGTTTGGAGCCGCTAGGGAACACCGGTACTGAGTCACATCGTCAACTAGACGCTGTGTAATATCAGAGCTCAGCTCAGCTTCCATTACATAACATTTGAATAAGTGTTCATTTGTGAGTCTTTGGTAGTTAGGCACAGCCAGGAGGCAGCATGTCAAGAAAACGAAAAGTGGATATAAGAGACTTCTTTCAAAGTCAAAACGTAAGTTGGAACATGTGACAGACCTGCATTAAGCTCACTCACCTCCTCCTTCACAGACTCAAAACTAACTTTTACAAACTCATCTCCTCCACATAACTGACTCCTCCGACACAATTTATTCGTATTATTATAATTATTATTATTTTTTATTACTATTATCATCATAATTATTATTACTAGTAGTAGTAGTAGTAGAAGTGTAACTTCAAAACTTTTATCATTTAACTTTATTGTAAACCTATCTATTGCAATGTATATTTTCACATTAAAAAGCTCTGAAAAATGAACAGTATCATCATCGTCAACAGATTTTTTTAAGCTTAATGTCAAAGATGTACACTTTTCATTAGATTTATCTTATTTTTTCCATTTATTTTTTGTGTGTTGAAATGCAACAACTGTTTAAACACTTTTAAGGGAAAAACATATTTAATATGTTTTTATACACTCAAATGTTAGGGTGATGATCATGTGTAAAACATTAGTTCAGCTTGTCCTCTAACACAGCAAATGAACAAACGGCCAGATCTCAGGAGGGACCGTTTATGTATAAATAATTTTTATACTTTTGACTAGGCCTGGGAAAGTAACAAATTTTGCTGGACGATATTTTGTCCAACAAATTGTTGATGATAAACGATATCATTGTCAACATTATCTAGACCAAAATAACCACTAATATAATGTTAATATATCATAATAATGCAACACCCTTTAAAATGCAACAAATAAACCTTCATTTAACATTGAAATATCCAGAACCAGAACTTCTAAATGAATAAAAATAACAAACAAAAAATAAATAAAAATGGAATCTCACTCCCGGTTAGAAAATGTTGCACCAAAAACAATAAAAAAAGACCCAAAACAATAAATACAATGGCCTATCCATTGTCAACAGCCAAAACTGCTCTTCAATAATGATAATAAATAAAAATAATAATAGAGTTGTACATTTTTTTAACTTTGATATATATATATATATATATATATATATATATATATATATATATATATATATTGAGGATGGAAAAATTATTGAGATGGGCACGTGATGTGTCAAGGGGTCTTTACATAAAACCCCCCACCCCAAATCCGCACAAGCCTGCTGTGTCCCCCCCACTTCTGAAATCAAAATTTCGTCCCTGCTGACAGGAGAGCCTTTGGATCAGAAGAATATTTTATTCTCTAAATACTCATGTAAATTAACTTTGTGACTTTTTGACAAGCGAAGAATAAAATGTAAAAAGTCCTTCAGCTGAATCTGATTTCTGTCATCAACGGAGGAAGTTTAGTCCTTGACCAATCAGCAGTTAACCATCCACAGCTGGAGGCCAGAGCAGAAACAGAAAACGTTTTTGGTGATCCATCTGATAAACTCTGTGATAATTTCTGTGTTGCTTGGTTGGGTTCTGAGTCGTTTTGACTAAATATAAATCCTTATTTTTGGTTGGCGAATTTTTATTTTGAAAAGAAGATCCCGGAAGTCGTGCTGTCACTTTGCTCTGACGTCTCTCTGACCGGCAAAATCCTCCGTTAAGCCTCCGAGGCTCTCTGCCTCCCATTGGCATCCCGGAGCACTCCCGCTGCTCGGTGTCACACCTTCGGGACCAGACCCGGTAGACCGGTACCCCGGTGCCGGGACCTACATCCCGGCTGGTCGGAGGATTCCTGTTCTTTCACAATCTTTTCGTCATCAACGTCACGACTAGAGAGACGCGGCGGAGTCCTAGTCCGTTAGTCGGTTCTGACCGTGATTTTCGTCACATCCTGACGTTTGTACCCAGCGTTATGAACAGAACCGGACCGACCCATCACATCTGACCGGCATCAGGGGCTGGAGAGCTGGGGGGGTGGAGGAGGAGTTGATGGTGGATGACTTAACCGGATTGCGTGTGGAAGGACCTCGACCGGAGCGGAGGAGGTGGAAGAAGGGCCAGCGGAAGCGGAGGGGAATCGAACCGACAACCTGGGGGGTGAGAAGCGGAATGGGAGGCGGAGAAGCAGCGACGCGGGCGGAGGAGGAGGAGAAGATGGGGTTACTCTTTGGACTCCTGTGGCTTATCACCAGCTTCCTGCAGGGCGTACACGGCCAGGGCGTTTACGGTAAGGACGTGCACGGTGTGAGCGTGCACGTTTGTAGCACGAGCTGGTTCGCATGATGCGACTCTACCGGCTCCAGTGATGCGCGCTCCTCATCAGCACCGTGACCTTGTAGAGATTTAGCGCGTTCATGCTAAACGCGCGTGTGCGCATGTGCCAGTCCACGTGTGTGTGTGTGTGTGTGTGTGTGTGTGTGTGTGTGTGTGTGTGTGTGTGTGTGTGTGTGTGTGTGTGTGTGTGTGTGTCAGATCCATGCCTGGCTCAAGGGCACTAGGAGGCACACTTAGACTGCAGGTGTGATGGATCTGATGCCTATTTCTACATGAATAATGTAGAATGATGTCCTGCTGGTCTCCTGAAGTAGCTGATGTGTCCCTGCAGAGACACTCTGGACTTAGGCTACTTTATTTCTGCAGATTCACACAAATTACAGCTGTGCACAGAGTGGGGAGCACCGGTCTCTGTTAGGGAAATCCATCTTCCTCTTGGAGAGGCTGACACACACACACACACACACACACACACACACACGGCCCAGAAATCCTCACACCTGCTGTAAATAATCTTCACTGCCTGGGAGTGTGTGAGGCTTCCTAGATATCTCCTCAAAATCATCCATCCATCCTTCCATCCATCCATCCTTCCATTTTCTGTACCCGCTTGTCCACGCGGGGTCGCAGGGGGAGCTGATGCTTATCTCCTGCGGTCAACGGGCAACAGGCGGGGTACACCCTGGAGAGAGAGCCAGTCCATCGCAGGGCAACACAGAGATACACAGGACAAACAATCATGCACACACTCACACCTAAGGACAATTCAGACATGTGTATATATATATATATATATATATATATATATATATATATATATATATATATATATATATATATATATATATATATATATATATTAGTACAAGCCAAACATTTGGACACACCTTCTCATTAAATGTGTTTTCTTTATTTTCATGAACATTTACATTGGGAGATTCTCACTGAAGGCATCAAAACTATAAATGAACACACGTGGAGTTATGTACTTAACCAAAACAGGTGAAATAACTGAAAACATGTTTTGTATTCTATTTTCTTCAAAATAGCCACCCTTTGCTCTGATTACTGCTTTGCACACTCTTGGAATTATCTTGATGAGCTTCAAGAGGTAGTCACATAAAATGGTTTTCCACCAGTCTTGAAGGAGTTCCCAGAGGTGTTTAGCACTTGTTGGCCCCTTTGTAAATGGTCTATCTATCTATCTATCTATCTATCTATCTATCTATCTATCTATCTATCTATCTATCTATCTATCTATCTATCTATCTATCTATCTATCTATCTATCTATCTATCTATCTATCTATCTATCTATCTATCTATCTATCTATCTATCTATCTATCTATCTATCTATCTATCTATCTATCTATCTATCTATCTATCTATCTATCTATCTATCTATCTATCTATCGAAATTTTTATTATTATGTATTTATTTATGGCATCAAAAGCCATTTTTAAGTCGATGCACAGCCAGAGGTAAACATAACGTTTATACTTGAGTACTCGATGGAGAATCAGGTGTTGATTAGCCCAACCGTGACGTTTAGACTGCTGCGGTGCTCGTAGATCTCCTTTAGTAGCAGATCTCATCAGGAACAAGCTTGTAATGAGTGTGCACGTTTTTTTGCTGCCTTCTGATGCAGAGCCGTCAGGGAAATATCTTTGTTGAACCAACCAGTGTGTGTAGCATCTGAGCACACCTACTCTTCTCAGCTATTTAAAGCAGACATGTCAGACTCTGCTAGTATTAATATATTATCAAACCCTCATTTCAGCATTTAGTTGGATTAACATGGACACTACTATTATGAACGAATGCAGAAGTCTGTGAGGCTGAAGCATTACATGATTTTATTTATGTAACTACAGTAAACAGACAGAAAACTGAGAAGCCTAGTTCTAACTGAAATGAACATGCAGGGACACTGTAGTGAATCACTGATGAGTGAGGATGCTCTGCAGACACGATGATGTTTGGAGACACACACACTCCATGTGCAGCAGGACGAGTTAATATTACATCTAACTCTGTCCCAGCAGCTGTCTTCCTAACCTGTTGTTCATTAAAATGAATGAGTTGCACTACAGGACACCTTGACATAACGCTGGTTGCACATCACTTCTACGTCACCTGAATCTAAACGCTTCCTGTTAACAGAAACTTCTTTACTTGTGATGGAACATGCAGATAGCTCTGAATACATCAGGACAACCTGCTGCAAGCAAAGCATCAATGTTAGACCACAAATGTCTTATTACAATGTATTTACAGGCTGAAAGAACCCTCTTCAATTAAATATAAAGTCTAAAAGATCCAAATGAATCAATCGGCTCACTTGTTTTGTGCTGTCTTGTTTGGGGAACTCCAGAGGTCAAGTTGTTGACATTTGCTTTTCTTATGATCATCTCAGCAACGTACCAGATTTTTATTTATATAAGTTCTTTGGGTGAAGGCAGCAGTGGAGATGGGGTTCATTCTGCCTTCAGGACATTTGCAGACTTTGGATTGAGCCTCACCCCCCCTACAATCCCTAAAACACAATCTAGAGTCAAACATGAAGCCATCTGTCTGACAGCTGAAGCTTGGACCAAAGTGGGTCAGTCAACAGAACCATGATCCCAAACACACAGTTACAACGGAGTGGCTGAAAATAAATGACCAGTCTAATTTTGTTATGTTATGTAACAACATGAATAACTGACAAATAAAATTGGCTCTTACCACCTGTAGACATGTGCATGAGTGGATAAGGCAGGATTCAGATGAAGGTACAAAATGTGATTCTCCATCTGGAAGTTTTTTGAAGGCGAGAGGTTATTTAGTAAGGATTTGTGAAAAACTTCCATGATGAGTTTTATTGTTGTTATTATTATTATTATTATTATTATTATAGTGGTAGATGGTAATTGTATTTTCTTTAAGAAATACAAAGATATGCCTCGATTCAAACTCAAATATCAGATCAGGTGCTCTATCAAGGCACTTTTAATTGATAATTGATGATCTCTAACACACACACACACACACACACACACAAACACACACACACACACACACACACACACACACACACACACACACACACACACACACACACACACACACACACACACACACACACGATGGTCAACTGGGTACGGGAGTTGAGCTTGGTAAGGATGTTTGATGTCTGGATTATTCGGTAGAGAACTCTGATCATGGGTTTCAATGAAACGATGACTGAGTGAAGAGCCGGTGCGGCGTCTTCCATATATAGGCTTGGGTGTGACTGGGAGAATGCCGGGAGTTCCCGCGAGGAGCATGCTGGGAAATGTGGTCCAAGATGGAGGCCGGTTAGCTGGGAGAGGCCGGTCCGGGGGCTTGGGTTCTGACACACACACACACACACTCTTGTATTTGTACCCATGTTAGGACTTTGTATTCCATTCATTTTAGTGAGTCCACTATGCCTTACCCTAACCCTAACCAGTGTGTTTCTAAAGTTATCTGTAACAAAAACTCAATTCACATCTTATCACCTCACTCCTAGGGAATACTCCGTATTAGGACCGGGTTTTGGTCCTAACAAGGACCATCGGTCGTAAGAAGGTTAGTAAATATCCCAAACCCCTTCACAAGGGTGATTTTATCTGTTTTATTATACTGGATAGTGTTTTTATGCTGATTCTTATTCTGTTCAGCACTTTGGGGTTGTTCACGTAACTGGAAAGCGCCATACAAATAAACTTACCTTGACCTTGACCGTGGGTCATAATACAACACCAACTCTCTGCTGGGTCAGAGAAGTGAACCAGAGAAGAACAGAAGAAGAGCTGGAGATGCGCTCAGAGACAGATGACCCATGTTTAAAATGACTTTAATTTCTGCTCTAGCTTCACTTCAGCTTTAGCCTGAAGAAGTCAGATTAGCAGGATTGTCACATCTTGATTGGCTCTTTCCTTCTTGATGCTGGAGTTTGATCACCAGAATAATCCAAATCAAAGCGGGCCAGAACAGCACCAAGAGCTGCCTTCAGTCACTGCTTCTGACTAAATTCCTAAACACTTCTCAAAGCAGTATTTATCAACCTTGTTGCTCTTTTAACATCACCAGCAGGTGTTGATGGATCCTGGTTATGTGTGACCTCTATTTCACAATGGAAGCATCAGCGCCGCGGAACAGCAGCAGAACATTTTACTCTCGAGCTTCAATGCAGTCCAATACACACCGGGAGAGTCTCGGCCGCAGAATGGGTTCCTCGCTGTGCTCCCCGCTGGATTCGCACGTTCACAAGATCCCTCAAGACTTCAAAGGTCACAGTTTGTTTATGCAATCCGCTATTAAATCAAAAAGACAGAAATCACATTCAATATTGCTGTTTGAGGTCATATATGTTGCTCCTCCCAGCTGCCGGGATTAGAGCCTTGAGAAACACACTATTGCACTTCTCAAACAATGCTGTTGTTAGGTCACACGTAAGCGACATATATATGAAATAGCATCGCTGTAACACTTTTATTTTGAAAATTACTGCAGATCAGCTGGCATAGGTGCCCGCTCACCACAGCCATGGAATACACCTCATCAACATGCACTAATACTGTATTGGAGCAGGAGGAGGGAGACTAGGGGTCTTGGCATACCTCTGTTGTTGCTTGGCTTCCCGGGGCTGGAGGCTAGGAGGGAGATCCAGCCATCTGGTTGGGGTCTGGGATGGTGGGATGCTTTGCCCAGCGTTGGGCGGGGGTACCTGCTCATCATCACCCCAGCAGAAAGGGTCAAACTCTGGGAACCGGTGATGGTTGTACCCTTTGTGCAGCAGTGCCGGGACCAGAGTGAATAGGGTGTGTGTGTGGGAGCATGAGGGAGGGAGTGTGTGACTGTGTTTGTGTATGACTGTATGTGTCAGGTGGGGCCTTTGACTCCTCCCCTCTCCTGGGACTTCTTTTGCTGCTACACATCTTTGT